AAGGAATATATAGCAACCCAAAGCCAGTAACATGGCCCGTAATAGCCTACAGAATTAGATGCTCCATCCACACCAACAGATCTGAGCTCCTCAGATCGCCCCACCGTGAAGTGATGCGGAGTGAGAGTAAAGACTGTTTTATTTAAAGAAAAAAAAAGTTCAAAGGCTTTTTAGTCTATAAAGGACACTAGTGTTTGATGTCTTTGGGCCCAAATTACAGAGGAGGAGGAGAAAAGGAAAAGTGTTAGGGTGTATTTTAAGGTTTCTTATTACTACCAAGGGGAGGGGTTGTCAAGGCAAAGTGCCAAGACTAAAACAAAAACAGCATATAGAAACCAGGAGCTGTTTGTTTAAAAAGCTAGAGACCATAAACTCTTCAAGCAACAGCCCTCTTTGTCTAATCTGCTTCCTTACCATCCAAATGGCAAAAGGCAGGTACTCCCTGACCTTTAATTTAGCCTTTTGTAGACACTGGTCAGTTTCCACTAAAGTACCTCATTTTAACTTTGAATGAGTGTGTGTGTGTGTGTGTGTGTGTGTGTGTGTGTGTGTGTATGTGAGCCAAGGATCCCTTTGGCAATCTGGTAAAGTCTCCTGGGCCCTTCTAGGAAAAATGTTTTTAAATGCATAAAATATAAAGGATTACAAGTAAAATCAATTGTACTTAGTTATCAAGATAGTTTTAAATTGTGATACAATAGTATATGTACTTCTGTATTAATGCATTAAATAACAATACATGTACTTCTGTATTAATGCATTAAATAACAAATCTAGCAGCAAGTCTATTTGTTGCCTATACTCATAGTTGAATTAAATGCTAAATTTCAGTTTGACTATAGAAAAAACAGAGATGCAATTTTCTTCCCCATCCAAGCTCAAGGACTCCCTAGACTGCACCTGTGGACCCTCGGTTAAAAACCCTTTGTTAAAAGAGTCACTAGACATACATTTTGTGAAGCATCAATCAAACAAAAAATAGTCTTGCAAAATGCATTATCCATTGAACTGTGAGGTTAGGGTAACTAAAAGTAAGTAATATCCAAAAACTATGATGGGCCACTAGTCAGCAAGAGAATTGCATGCTTCAAATTGAACCCACAAAGGGATTCAGCTCCCCTCATGCAAGCAACAAAAACACCTAACCTCTGAGGTGTTTAAGCTCTGAGGAGCTGACAGCAGGTTGGAATCTGTCCTGAAGTGCGGAAACCTTGACCTGGCAGTGTAGTGATCCAGCTCAACTATGAACTTGAAAAAGAATCTCCTTCCGTCCTGGAGCCTCAGTTTCTCCATCAGTAAAATAAAAGGCCTGACCATGTAACCATGACTTGTTAGGCTCCTGCCAGCTCTAAAATTCTATTATCAGATTATCTCTTCCTTATACTGGCTACTTCAGCCTATTTAGATTCATCTTAAAACATCATTGCCTTTCTTAAACTTGGAACATATTTTTACCAAGTTTGAATGCCCTCATGCATAACCTAACACCAATGAGCCAGATATATGTATACCATTAAAACTTTTTTTAAAAAGCCTGTTTTGCACATTTCTACTTCATAAAAAGTAATCCACAGCATTTGTTTTTTCTACTATTTAAACAAACTTCCCATTCAAATTCTAGCATCATCACCTCAAGAATATACAAAATCAACATAAGCTGAGCTATCTAGAATGTTAACTCTACATTCTCCACTTTTCGGCCAGTGAACACTATTACAGGGTATAGACCAGGAAAGCCTCTGACTACCTAATCTAATCATATTTCATTATTGCTAAAGAAACAAAGACAGACGGAGGGACGAAGCCAAAATCACAAAGTCAGTCTGCGAGAGAGCAGGAATTCAATCCAGATCTCCTGACTGCACTTTAATGCTCTCCACAGTACACTGAACTGCCTCTCAAATCCTGACACACTTCCCCAACTTTAACAGTTTAGCGAGGTTTAAAATAAATAGCAAAAAGACCTGACAGGCCATTTTCTCTACCTTCAATTATGTCATGGGGACAATAAAGAGTTGAAATCATGAAATAATTAAATTCTACTTACCTGTCAAGAAAGTGATGCCCTTACTAGAATCCTAACCATCTATTGTATAACACATAAGAAGACACATTAGTATTTGTATATGGATACAGAAATATGCATATATAGCTCTTCCCATATACATGTACAGACATATATATTGAGTCATCGGGCAAGTCATGACGTATTTTTCTGTTTTTGAATGCAAAAACGCTTCATGAATTTCTCAACGAACCAATATATACATAGACATATGCATATATAGTTCTTCAGCCTGCTCTCCAGGAGTCCTCAGTAAATTTTACTAAGAGAGCAAAAACGGATAGTCACACAAGTTTGTTTTTTTTTAAGCATTGTATTTTATAAGCAAACGCTTCTTTCAATATCAATGTTGAGCACTTTTAGATCTCAAGATTAATTTTATCAATAAGAAAAGCTACTAGAAACTCTCTATTTACCAATATTTACGTCCTAGATGATCAAACAGGCAAAGTTGATATTAATTTTTATTTGTTATTATTGTTTTAAGAGGGAGGGCACTGTCTCAAGTCCTAAGGATGGGATATGAATTAGTAGGATCTTTTTAAAGTCTACCTACCTTCTCACTAGTTCCCCGGGATCTTCAATGCATTCAATATTACTAGAGTCAAAAAACCTACTCTCAAAAAAAGAAGAAAGAAAAGACTACAATTCTTCTAAAGTATTCAAAAACCAGACTAGCATCTTAGCAGCCTGGTCTCAACTCGCATTTCACTTTCTCAAAAAGACCTGCCCTGATCTCCTAGCTAAAGAAAGCAATACCTGCCTAGAGCAGACATTCTCTAAGTTAACCCACTTCTGTTGAGAGCTTGGCAACACCTGAAATCATCATTTATTATTCATTTGTTTAGGTGTTTCTTTCTGTTTAAGCCTACCACTCCACACTATGAAAGCTCCTTGTTCCTTGTAGGCTGGATCCTCGATGTCTACACAGAGCAGGCACATAGTAGGCGCACACATAACTGTGGCATGTCTGGCCCAAAATATTAAAGTAAGTGCCAACTATGTCATACTCAAGGTCTCCTGGAAAAGCATTTGTAAAGGACAGAGCACATCCAATTGGCAATGCATTTCCACAGCCTGCTTTAGAGTAAGCCTATGATACCAGGACAATCCAGGGTATAAATCCTTTCCAGGGCTTTGAAATGTCCTGTACTTCCAGCTATGAATACAAAACCTCTCCAGGCCCACTCACACATTGCTTTTCTGAAACATCTCAATAATGATTTCCTCAAAAGGAAATATGTAATGAAATAAAGTTCTGGCATAAGTTAATCTTTCCTGTCAGGTTCACAATGTTAAACATACTTTAAAGCCAGTCACACAAACAAACCCAAACTCCACAAAATTAGGTTGAGCTGAGATTACGTAAGACAAACTAAACTCTGTCTTTTCTTCCTGTCATCCCTCCCTCCTTTCAGTGAACCCAGACATCTGTCTTCTAAGTGCAATCAGATGCAGGTAAGAAGAAACGCTTATCTGCACACAGCTTCAAAATAATGAGATTTCCAATAATATTCCACTTAATGCTGTAGCAACAAAGTGAGAAAGGCTAGACAACTTTGAGCTGTACTGTGTCTGGAAGCTTCACTTAAAAATACTTCTCTCTGAAATTATTTTTAAGTCGGCACTTACTTCAAGGTGTTTAGTTATCAAAACACGTTTTTCAGAGTTCCTTGAGTTTTTCTATACCCATGACTCCGCATGTGTGTGCTGAGCTTACTTATCAGCACCCATCATGTTCTGAATACAGGTCTTTCAACAGAGAAGGCCAAAAGCCCAAGTTCCCGGGAATGATACATTCAAAGGAAAAAAAATAATCCTTTCTCCTCCCATACTAAACCCTAGTTGCTCCTTCTCCCGGGTTTCCTGTACTTCCCTCTCCCCATTCCGCTCCCCTTGCACTGCCCACTTTATCCTTTCATTTGGCGAAGCCTTTCTCCCGGCTTATTAAGGGTAAACAATAGAAATGTCACAAGGAAACTCAGGAAGTAGATGAAGTCTCTAATCGCTGCCGTTTAACGATTGTAGATAATTACTATCTTCAAAATGTGGTTTTCACCAGCGGAGAGGGAGCCGAGGCGGGCGAGGCTGGCGAGCTCCCCGCCGGCCGCCGGGAGGACCTCTGCGAGGCCGCGCGGCCCGGGGCGGAGGGACAGAGGGGATGCGGCCCCGCGCCGCCGCGCGTCCCTGCCCCCTCCAGGACGCTCCCCGCGGGCAGAGCCGAGGGCCGGCCCGCCCGCCCAAGTCACAGACAGTTCACTGCCCGCGGGCTGCGGCTGCCCGCCGCAGTCACCATAACAATATGCAAAGCGCCGCCCGCGGACGCCCACCGCGCAGCTCCCAGCGCCCCCCGCAGCGGCCGAGCGGCGCTCGGAGTTCCAGGGCCCCGGGCCCACAGTGAGCCGAGACCGAGGGCCCCCGGGGGCTGGGCCTCGCGGGCCTCAGCTTCGCCTAGCGGGGGGGTCTCCACCCACACGGCGAGGTGCCTGCGACGGCGGCGCCTCAGCCTCCCCGACCCCTACCGACTCTCCCCGGCCCGGGACGCGCAGGGAAGTCGAGCCCTTGGCCCCGCGGTACTGCCGAGGACTGGCCCCCAAGCACTGTGTCCCGCCGGGCGCGGGGTCGCCCCAGTCCCCGCCGCCGCCTCTCCCGGGCCGGCCCCGCTCCTCCACTTCCTCCGCCGCGGTCCTCCGTGCGGCTAGCGCATCCCGGCGCCCACCTCAGCGCCCGGAGCGTGCCGATGGGGGGCATCCCGCCCCCGCCGTCCCAGCTTTCCGAGCAGCTCCCGCAGCCCCCAGCGTCCGGGCGGTCCCTGGAGAGCGGCCGAGCCATCCCGCTGGCCCGGCTCCGGGATGCCGGCGCACGGCGGCCACCCAGCCCGGAGCGCTCGCCGCCCGCCCCCAAGCTCCCCGAGGTCGGGGATGCCCGGACTCACCCCAATACCACCAGCTCTCCGTATTTCACCGGCTCCTTATTGGGGGCGCAGTGCTCCTCCTGGCCGGGGGAAAACATGGAGCCCCGCTCGGCCGCCGCCGCCGCCGCCGCCGCCTCCGCCGCGATCCCCGCCGAGTCCGCGCCGCCGCTACAATCCCATCCCGAGAAGGGGGTGAGCGCGCCGGGGAAGGGCACGGCGGCGAAGGGGGCGCGGGGCGGCCAGTCCCGCGGCTGCTCCGTCGTGGCTGCGCAGCTGCCCCGCCGGGCTTCCCGGAGCTCCGCGAGCCGCGGCCGCCCCGAGCCAGACTAGGCAACAAATGGGACCGGGCAGCAGGGGGACCTGCCCGCGCCGAGCGCCGCCGTTGCCTCCTCAGCCGATGCCGCCGCCGCCGCGGTAACCCAGCGGGAGGGAGGAAGCGAACAAACGCGGGAGGGAGGGGCGGGGGCAGGACCGCGGAGCCGCCCCGCCGCGCGCGCGGGCAGGTGGGAGCCGCCCCGCCCTCAGCGAAGAGCCCGCAGTCCCGGGCCGGCCCGACGCCCCCTACCCCGGCGCGTGGGGCCTCCCGCGCCCACTCCCCGTTTTCCTCCGCTGGGCCCCGAGGTGGATCGGCCCCCATGTTATGTAAACATAGAGTAAAAGGGAAAGGAAGTTCTTAAAGGAGCAGCTCTATTTTTTTTCCCCCCCCTCTGGCTTCCTTCCCTAAACTTACAGCACGAGGTCCTCAGCCCTTGCCGCCGAGTTCTCCAGCCACCGAAGGCTGTGCTGGATCCCGGAAGCGCAGCGGTCAAGGTTCCCAAGCGTAGCCTAGTTTCCCCGGGTTTAGTTAGATGTAAATAAAGAACCTCTCGGAGCGTACGAGCATTTGTTTTCCGGGTGTCACTGCAGCGGCATACATCTGAAGGTGTGGCACACACGCACCTGGGTGCCTCCTTTTCCAAAACCAAGTCCTTCAGAGCTTGAAGACCGCTAGAAATTTGGAGGGCTTTGCCAACTGGTGCTGCCTTAGAAGTTTGAAGACACTTGGAGCACCCCGCCATTGTACAGAATGTGGCTACCCGGTTTGTCGTCAGATTTCCACATGGTTTAAAAAATAAAGGGGAAAAGTGTTTTGTTTAACCCATACTCCATCAACTTTTCCCATACTTTCTCTCAATCCCTTAAGGAATTTAAGAGGCAATTACCAGGGTAAACTTTTTTAGTAAATATAAATATTCCTTTATTACCATAATTTAGTTAAGGCACTATGTTTGCTTTTTATCCTTTTCTAAATAGTTACTACTATGGCGTTAAAATATTTTAGAATATAATAGATTTACTGACTGCTGTTTTCATCATGCAGGATTTTATTGTTACCATTTATTAAGCACTCATAACATGCTAGAAACTCTACATATTATTGCCAGTCACTGCCTCTTAAGACTATTAAATATTTAAAGAAATAAATACTGCAAAAGCTACCCCAAGTATTAACAGTGACTGGTTGGTTGGCTATGACCTCAAGGAAGGGCTAGGGAGGAGATAGTTCCATCTGTAGCCTTCCATCCTGCGTTCAGCGCCCTTTGTCTAACATTCCCTGACAGGTTATTACTGTAGTGCCATGCTGTTTCTGGAAATTTTACTTCACTTAGAAACTGCTTTTTTAAATTGAGGCTTTAGGGATAAATTATTCCAAAGTAACTAAAGCTACCCCAATGTTAAGCCCCAAACAAAACAAAACTTGAAACAATTAACTTATTTCCACTAAGGGTAGAAAGTCTATCCTTCAACTGAATACAGCTGTTTTGCACAATTTACCTATTCTCTTTATTTTTTATACATATTCTGTTATAGCTTTAACCAACAATCCTTTCCTAAAGGGTTGAATTCTTTCTCATGACCAGTGTCTTGGTGTGAATTTGTGTCTGAATTTCTGCTTTGTTGATGTTGTCCTGGTCTATCCATTCTACACTCCTAGTACCATATAGAGGCGTGGCTAGCAAAGATCTATCAGGATCATGCCACAGTTATGCAGTCCCCCATTATTATAGTACCTGGCTCTGTCATTCTAACTTCTGGAGGCTTGTTGGGTTGCTGCTACTGCTCTCCAGGCTACAATTACTTCCTCCCTCCTTCTCTCTTGGCATGCTGTGCTTTTGTGCATTGCATTACACTGTTCTGGCTCCATTTCCTCCTTGCTGTGCTCTGCATCTGCTCTTAGGAGGATAGAAACAAATATTTATTAACCTCCTACTAAGTTCCAAACACTAGGCTGAGAGTTGCCCATAGGATATCCCAGTCTTTGATGGCCCTTCATTCTAGCTATCTGCCCATGGTGCCTATGACTTCCAGAGGGGCATCTCTGTCTACTCTCCCAGACTGCCTTTGAGCATGTTTATAGTGCTTAATCAGGTCTGTTGTTATCAGTTACTTACAGGAAGTGCTGCTTTGAATGAATTTTTATATCAGTGTAGGCTTTTTATCCTAGGCATCGTAGGGCTTGCAGACCAGTTTTATAAGTCACTCGGAGACCTGAAAGCCTCAGGAATGCATTCAGGGGCCAGGAATGGAAATCCAGAGGGTAAATGGGCTGAGTGAGAACTGTGGCAAATTTGTGAGCCTGTACCATCTCAGAGGGACATCTGTCACTCATCTCCAGCTGATTGTTGCCATGTGATAATATCAGCTCCCTTTTCCTAAATTTAATTATTTTTTAAAAGCCCCAAATCCTGATTTTTATGCCAAATCTCTCAATTTTTAACTGTTGCCAACTCATTCAAATTTCGGGAGTTTTGTTGTTTTGTTTTTTTAAACACAGCATGAGACCACCAAAACCATATGTATTTTCTAAATTGGGCCCAAGATCTCCAAATTTGCCTTCTCTGATTTCTAGGAAACATGTATGAGTGAAGGTAAAAGAACACATCTCATGTGAGATTAAATGGCAGGGCTGGGAGGGGAGCAGAGTGGTGGGACAGAAACTTGATTTTCTCAAAGTTGGTGGCTTGTGTCCGTATGGAAGCCAGCTTGTATCTTTCTCTGCCCATCCCTTATTAGAGTTTTCTGCTCACAACTTAAGCTAATTAGAACGTTACCCCACCACCCCCAGCTTATATTAGAAATCTGATTGTAGCATGAATTTATCTCTTTTCGAATGTAATTGTTTTAGTTAGTAGCTCCAGGCTGGTGGGACAATCTGGCTGCGCCATCTGCCAACCCACTGAAAGGCAGAGTGGGTTTGGCCAACCTGGCTGCCAAGGCAGACCCTCCCCTTCCCTCGCTGCTTGCCATTCTATTTCTGTCTTCCCTAAACCACTCTCCTGAAAAGGACGACCAACCCACAGCACCCCAGAGGGAGTTGATGCTATTTCTTGGATGACCAGAGGCCATATGTTTACTACACAAATAAATAATGTAAGGCTTTCTCTTGATTTATCTCCCTGTATGTCTACCTCCTTTAAGTTAGAATTAAAAGATTTTCTGAAAAAGTTTATGTTTCTCTTAGCTATACCTTAAATAAAATCAACCAAATACCTTCCAGTATTTCTAGAATTCAGTCTAATTTTTGGTCACCCTATATTCTACCCTACGTGATAATGTTTGCAAAAACTAAAGACTAAGAGATACTTTCAGAAATATATGTTTTGACAAACTGATCATTTTTTTCATGAAACCTAATCATATTTCACTTTTAAATTACCCTTTCTTTTTCTGATTGGGAGAGTAGTATGAGCTCCTTATCAGAAATTTGGAAAACATGAACAAAAGGATTTTTTTTAATTTTATTTTAAACATCTGTAGTCTCATTACCCAGAAACAAGCCTTTAACATTTTTGTGTGTTTCCTTCATCCTTTTTATTTTTAATTTTTTTTACACAGTGGTGATAATACTGTATATAATCATTCTTTACAGTTTGTTATCCTGCCTTTTTTCATTAAATATTATATTGTGAGCAGTTTTCTCTTGTCACTAAAACTTCATGAACATTTTTGTTTCATCATATGTATCAAAGTATATTAACCATTCCCTTCCTATGGAGTGTTTGGAAGATTTCTAATTTTTGGTCTTATAAATAGTAAACATATTTACATTTGTTATTATTACATGAGAACAGATTCCTACAAGTAACATTATTACATCAAAGGGTGTAAATATTTTTAAAACCTTTTGATGCGTATTTCCAAAGCATTTTTAAAAACGTTTGTGCCTGCCAATTTATACTGTAACTAGCAGTGAATGAGAGAGTCTGCCTCAGGGAACTCTCACAAGCATTTTTAAATCTTTACTAATTTGACAGGTGGTAATTTTTTATTTGCATTTCTATGATTGCTATTGTGAAGTGCACTCACTTTTTTTTATTATTGAGGTAAAAGACACGTAACATGAGATCTACCCTCAACAAATTTTTAAGAGTACAGTACAGTATTGTTAACACCGAACATAATATTGTACAGCAAATCTCTGGAACTTTTTCATTTTGTATGACTGAAATTGTATACCCATTAAACAGCAACTCCCCGTTTCTGCCTTTTCCCAGGCCCCAGCAACCACCATTGTACTTTCTACTTCCATGAGTTCGACTGCTTTAGATACCTCATATAAATGGAAGTATGCAGCATTTGTCCTTTTGTCTAAAGAAGCAAATTGTCCTCAAGTTTTTTCCATATTGTAGAATATGAAAGGACTTCCTTCTTTTTATGGCTTAATAATATTTCATTCCATATCTATGCCATGTCTTTTATCCAAACCTAAGTTTTGGTGATTTTTTTTCTATTCTTTTTCTATTTTGTTTATTTCTGCTCTACTCATTATTTCCTTTCATCTGCTAACTTTGGACTTTGTTCTTCTTTTTCTAGGTCCTGTAGGTGTAGAGTTAGATAATTTATTTGAGATCCTACAACTTTTTTTAATGTAGGAATTTATCACTACAAAGTTTCCTCTTAGTACTGCTTTTACTGCATCCCGTACATTTTGGTATGTTGTATTTTCATTTGTCTTAATATATTTCTTAATTTCCTTTTTGATTTATTTTTTGATCTATTGATTAAGAGTGTGGGTGTAATTTCCACATTGTCAATTTTCTAATTTTTCTTGCTATTGATTTCTAGTTTCACCCAATTGTGATCAGAAAGATACTTGGTATGATTTCAATATTCTTAAAAGTTGTTAAGACTTGTTTTGTGGCCTTACATGATCTATCCTGAAGAATGTTCTGTGTGCACTGGAGGAGGGTGTGTATACCGATGCTGTTGGGTAGATACGATCATGTTTTTTAACAGCCATGGGTTGGGTCATATTGAGCTTGTTATCAATAAAATCTCAGGGTTTTGTCAGATGAACTGCTTTTACGCAGGGTCCATTTCATCAAGACCTGTACAATTGAATTATTGAATCTAAGTGAACTATGAAATATTTATTC